TTGCTGTTGAATAGCAGTTTCTGCCAAGATAAAACCTTTGTCTTGAAGGGATGTTCATTAAGACAACAGGATGTTCTAAGCGGAGATGAAGTGCTCCATCCTGTAGTTCCTAAAGTTCTAGAAGTAAACCACTCGTTAGTCTCTGGAAGTCCCTGAGATTGACCAGGTTCACTAGGCTCCTCCAAGCATATATACAGCCTTAAGGACTGCCGAGAGACATTTGTAGACAAGCTGAGCTGCCTAGAAGACTGGACCAGCTGAGCTTCCTGGAAAGAATATTCAGCTGCGGGTTGTGCAGGGTTCCAGCTTTCATGAGCTGTCACCACACAGGGATGGGCTTTTGGCGATGTAGCTGTCTTTGAGTCATTTCTGCTCCTGTAAGTAACCCTAATAAAACTCAGTGGTTCACCAAATTGGATTTTGGTGGTATGCTTGCTTTGGTCTGTCCTTGGTTCCCTATCTGGGATGAGTACATGTTCATATCACCCCAGGAATAATGTCACACAGCAGTTGCTCTGCTCTAGGATAGGAGGAGCAACTTGGTCAGTTCACCTCATCAATAGTGTATGGGACCAGGCATGGTGGATGCACACCTTTAATCCCAGGCAGGGGGATCTCTTATGAGTTTCAGGACAGCCTGATCTGCATCTCTACATAGCAAGTTCCACACCAGCCAGTGCTGCATAGTGAAACCCTATCTCAAAAAAAGGCGGGGGGTACTGGAGAGATGGTTCAGCAGTTATGGCTGCTCTTGCAGAGGACCCAGGTTTGATTCCCAGCACCGACACAGCAGCTAGCAACCACCCATAACTCCAGTTCCAGGAGATCTTCGGACTTCTATAGGCATTGCATGAAACAGGTGCACTTACAGGCATGTAGGCAATACACTCACATAAAAATATTTTTAAAGGAAGAAAAAAATAGTGCATGGGCTCTCCTGTAGCCAGAAGAGCCTCCATTTTGCACATGAAACATAAAAGGGACAACTACTTTAATTGCTATGGTAAGAAAGAGATTGATGTGCCTGGGTGGCTTCTGGTGATGGGCTTGGCTGGGCTTTGAAAGGGCTAGTTATTCTGTTCTGGGGTTTGAGCCCTTTGGGCTGTGAGTTCTGTGCACCATGGCAGAGCCTCTGGTGGGGATCCCTTATTGTCTCATGACAAACATGGCTGACACACTCTTACCAACCTGGAAAACCATCATATCAAAGCCACATATACTAGAGAAGGGGCTGGGCAGGACAGGGGCAGCTCTCTTGGTGTCAAGCATGTATAAATAAACGTTCTGTTTGACTGGCAGCCTGCCTACCCTCAGCTTACCACCCCAAACACCCTCTTTTTCTGAGAATGTAAAATGCATACTTGATGGATCCTCTTTCTAGTTCTGCTTATGGGTCTGGAGTGCAGTATCTGTGCCCACAGAGGGCCAAGGTGGCATTTCATGTCTGCATGTTAGTGTCTTCTCAATTCTAGGAAATCTAGCCATTGCTACTTTACAACCAGAGTGCTGATATCTGCCTTTAACTGACTCAGCAGTGTCCAACCTGCAGTCCATAGGTCGGTCACATGTGGCCAAGGAGAGATTATGAATGAGGCCTAACACAACCATTAATTTACTTAGGTCATTATAAGTTTTTTATTGTTTTTTTTTTTTGGTCTATTTGAAACAGGGTCTCCCTGTAGCCCCATCTGGCCTGGAACTCTACATAGACCAGGATGGCCTCGAACTCACAGAGATCCACCTGCCTCTGCCTCCCGAGTGCTGGGATTAAAGGCATGTGCCACCACACCCATGATAAGATTCTTTTAAAGATTCATTTATAGCTGGGTGGGGTGGCACATGCTTTTAATCCTAGAACTCAGGAGGCAGAGGCTGGTGGAGCTCTATGAGTTAGTTCAAGGCAAGCCTGTTCTACATAGTGAGTTCCAGGCCAGCTGGGGCTACAGGGAGACCCTGTCTCAAAAAGACCGCCCCCCAAAACTCATTTACTTGTTTTTGGCTTTTTATTTTATTTATTTTTAGTTTTTAGTTTTTGGTAACTTGCTATGTAGACCAGGCTGGCCTTGAACTCACAAAGACACCATGCCCGGCTACTTATTTTCATTTTATGTGTATGAGTGTATTGCCTGCATGTGTATAAGTATACCTGTGTCCTGAAATGCCCACAGAAGCCAGAAGAGGGCACTGGATCTCCTGGAACTGGAGTTATGAGTGGTTGTGAACTGCCATGTGGGTGTTGGGACTCGAACCCAGGTCATCTGCAAGAGCAGTCAGTGCTCTTAACTGCTGAGCCATCCTTTCAGCCTGGGATTTTTTATTTTATTTTTTTGAGACAGAGTCTCCATGTAACCTCAGCTGGCCTGGAGCTTGCTATGTAGACCAAGCTGGCCTTGATCGTATAGAGCTCTGCCTGCCTCTGCCTCCCCAGTGCTGGGATTAAAAGCATGTGCCACCATACCTGGCTATTTTTTTTTGGTAACTTAATTACATAATTACATGGTTCTTGAGTGTGATGACAGGTTGCAAAGTCCAAAACTTAGACATGGACAGACACAATAAATAAATGTGATAATTTAAAAAGTTGGACATCCCAGCTGGTCAGCTGTCTGGTCAGTCACAATAAAGACAATTGCTCAGCCTGGGGGGAGGGTAGACATGTTCTTAACTTTCCACATAGGCATGCAAGGGTTTTTCAAGTCCATCCTTTTCATTAGGAACAGCTCATATAGTGGTGCACAGACTGAGCTCATGGTCAAGGTGAGACCTGGCCTTTGCAACTTGTGAAGCCCAGAAAAAGTACTGGGCCGATTTTTGGAAAGACCCTATTGGGTGTGCCCTTCTTTGTGTGTTATAAAAAACCCTGGGGGCACACTGTCCTTGATTTCCTGGGGGTACACTGTCCTTGATTTTATTTTTTCATTTTTTGGTAAAACATGAATGACAGAAGCCCTAGTAACTTTCTATTGCTGTGGTAAAACACCAGCCAAAGCCAACTTGGGGAAGAAAGGATTGTCTTTTAGGCTAGGTTAGGTTCGGTTAGGTCCATCATGGAGGAGGGAAGCCACGGCTGGAATGGAGCCAGCCAGGGCTGGAATGGAGCCGCCCACAGCAGGCAGGTCTCTCCCATGTCAGGTAGTAGTCAAGAAAATGCTGGACACAAAGACTGAGAATGAAAGTTGGAAATCAGCAAGTGGCCAGTGCTAGCCAAAGGAAGGAAGGCATGTCAACTGAAAAAGACTTTTAACAGCTTCACTAGGGACAGAGATGTCACTAACCACCAAAGGCTCAATTCACAATGGCCACAGGCCAGCCGATGGAGGAAATTCTTCAACCGAAGTTCTTTCTTCCCAGGTGACTCTAGTTTGTGTCAGGTTGACAAAACTAACCAACAACTGATATTTAAAGGATGGGGCATGGGGTATAGCTTAGTTGTAGAGAGTTTGCCTATCATATATAAAACCATGGGCTTGCTCTCCAACACTACAAACAAAAGAAACCATTACTATTTGAAGCGTTGAACTTTCCTACTAAATCCAGGTATGGTCGCTCACACCTAAAATTCTCACAACGGAAAGGCTGAGCCAGGAAGATTGGCGTTTAAGACCTGTCCAGGCTACATAGTGACTTCTAGGTATAACAAGACCTGCCTCAGAAAACAACAGGGCTGGGAAGTAGCTTGGCAGTAGAGTGTTAGCCCAGCATACTCAAGGCTCAGGGTTTGATCCCCAGACCCAGAACCCCCTTTTGTGCACATACAAAAGCACAACTCAGAAGACAAAAAGCAATACCCTACTAAGGTGGTGGCTCTGTCCTCTCTATATCTCTTGGTATTCATGGTTTTTTTGAGGTTGTAGCACCAAGGGCATGCAGGTTTAAAATTCATCATCTGGTGAATTAAGTATTTGGTGGTTATTTAGTGACATCTAAAAGTCTCTTCCAGTTGACATTGTTTCCTTTGGTTAGCACTGGCCACTTGCTGATTTCCAACTTTCATTCCCAACCGTCATGTCCTTAGGCTTTTACATGTGTGTCTTTGGTAAAGTACATAAATACATCAGGAGTCTAAAAAATCCAGTATGTTGGGATGGAGAGATGGCTCAGAAGTTAACAGCACTGGCTGCTCTTGCAGAGGACCAGGGTTTGATTCCCTGGACCCACATGGCAGCTAACAACCATCTGTAACTCCAGTTTCTGGGGATCTGACACCCTCTTCTGACCTCTGAGGGCACTGCAGGACATGGGTGCATTTACATACATGTAGGCAACACCCTCATACACACGCCTGTAATCCCAGCACTCGGGAGGCAGAGGCAGGTGGATCTCTGTGAGTTCAAGGCCAGCCTAGTCTACATAGTGAGTTCCAGGCCAGCTGGGGCTACAGGGAGACCCTGTCTCAAAAAGACCAAAAAAAAAAAAAAAAAAAAAAAAAAAAAAAAAATCCAGTATGTCTTTCTGTGTCTGTGTTTTGACTGATTGGTTTAGTCTGTTTTATTGTAACTACTGATTTTGGACTGTTTTCTACCATATTAACCTGTTATATCAGTTTGTCCCACTTTTTCTGTATTTCTTTTGATTTTTTTTTTTTTTTTTTTTTTTGAGACAGTGTTTCCCTTATGTGGACCAGGTTGGCCTGGAACTTTTTACACTCCCAAGTGCTGGGATTACAGATGTGCACCACCATCCCTGGCTCATTTTCTGTACTTCTTTCCAGCCCGGTAGTGTTGGGATTAATATCTCTGTGCTCACCTGAGCTGGCAAGGCAGGACCAACTGTCCCTAGCCTTTGTTTTCCCCAGCACCTTGGCTTCCCAAGCTAATAAGACCCAGCCTTTGACTTCTGTGCTGCTGTGAATGGCCGTTTCTCCTTTGGGCCTTGGTTAGGGTTTTCTTTTCACTTTAGTCTGTGGGTGGGATAGTTGGCCTTTTTTGTCAACCTGACTGAATTAAGATATACCTAGGATTGGTGAAAACTCACCTGTGTATCTGCGGGGATGTTTCCAGGGAGGATCAGCGTGAGGGACAGCGACTGGGAGAGACATTCTCAGAATTAATGTTGGCAACACCTTCTAATCAGGAAAACACCATCTTCATGAACCTGCCTTTGCTTCTCCCTGATGGAGTGAGTCAGTTACTGCTACTGTGATCCTCCGCTGACATCTGACTCCAGCTTCAGGCTTTCAACGTGGCCTCAATAGCAGCTACCGGGTTCTCAGCCTCTCCAGGTACGGACAGTCATTATTGGACTCTCCAGCCCCTATCATGTAAGCCAATCTGATACATCCCCTTGTTTAGTATTTATTCAATTATTTGTTTATTATTTTTGAGACTGGGTCTCATCTAGCCCGTGTCGGCCTCAGTTTGGCACTCTTTATTTGTGTGGCTTTCAAAGCCATATCACAACACCTTTAAGGACTGGGGAAAAGATTCCAGTCAAAACAAAGTCCATGATGTAGCTGAATATGGCCTTGGGCTTCTGATCCTCCTGCCTCCACCTCTCAAAGGCTGGGATTTCAGATGTGCATCACTGTGCAAGGCTGGCACTTTGGTTTTCTACCCACTTCTGGCTATTTTGTTTCCTCTCCATCACGTCTCTCAGCTCTTCTTTCTTCCTTTTGTTTTGTTTCGTTGTTTTGTTTTGAGAGAGGGTCTCATGTAGTGCAGGCTGGCCTCAATCTCACCATCTCACTATGTAGCTGAGGATGACGTTGAACTCCGGCATCCCTGTGCCTGGTTGGCACTTCCCTTTCCTCTCTTTCACTCTGCATTTCCCGTTGCTCTCCACTGTTCTCTTGGCAATTTCAGTCTCAGTGTTTCTACCCTACTCCTCTTCCTTCCTGAAACTTCCTTCCGTGAAACTTTCCCACCTGCTGGTAAGCCAGCTGTTCTCAGTGGTATCCAGTCTGCCCTTCATTCTATTTATTGTGTTCTGAATTTCCAACCAACCATGCCTTCATGGTTGAACTTATCCTCCCCTCCTCCCCCTCCTCCCCCCTTCCTTCCCCCTCTCCCTCCTGCTCCTCTTCCACTTCCCCCCTCCCCCTTCCCCTCTCCCCCCTTCTCCCCCTTCTCCTTCCCCTTCCCCTTCTCCTTCTTCTTCTGTCTTTTTGGCTCAGGGTTGGGATTAAAGGTATATGCCACCACGCCCGGCCGTGGTTGAACTTTCTGCTTGGCTCTTTTTCATAGCAATACTAACTGCTTCAAAAGCACAACTCTCACCTCAAAGGGGATAAGAAATGGTTTATTCTGTGAGTGATCATGGCCTAGGAACACAGATGTAGGTTTCCCTAGATATCATGTTCCATAATAACAGAATAAAGAAAGTCATAATCAACATACTCTGAAACAAGATGGTGGGTGCATTCAGTAGGCGGGTCACGGCAAAGCAGGGAGAATTCTGCTGTAGGCCTCAGGTGTGAGCTGATGACATTCTTAGTCTTTTGGTTGGTGGGAGTTAGGGCTTTGTTGAGTTAATACAGTCCTAAAGGTTTTTTTTATCTGTTAATCACAAGATGTTAAGCCAGAAATAGAGGTGGGCAAGGAGCAGCTATTTAGGAGCTAAACATGGCCCAAGATAAATTATAAACAGGCTCTGGATCTGCACTATTCCAAACTCTCCACGGTTACTGAAGAGCTAATGAGTTGGTCAGCCTTGCAGGAAGTTCAGTTCAAGATGGAGGATTTGTCAGGGACCATTCATTCACATTTCCTATTATTGCTTCTGTATTGCTAATCCTCCCCCTAGCCCGCCCCATCTTGCCTGCCTGTTCTGTCTAGTGGTCTAGCTTCAAAACCTTGGTCCTGGTATTTCTGTTGCTGGTAGGATATGTAACAAATTGTCCATCTCCTTTGGTGCAGTCCACCCTGCATGGTCTGGCTACTTTCCTTCATGCTCCCTCTCCGTGGGCCACCGGCTACTGTTAGACTGCAGGCTGAGGTGCGGCGGACGAGGGGAGAGCCCCAGTTAGAGCAGCCCTGCAAGTCAGGGCCTGTCTTCCCCAGGGAGACTAGGTCAGGCTCCAAGGCAAGGAGGGAATGTTGGCAGTGTCCTCAGGAGACACACAGCCTAAGGAAGGTCCAGTGAGGCCATTGACAGCAAATCATCGAGCCAGAATTGGCACCAAGAGAACCCAGGACTCTTCGAAGCTCCCCTACCATTTCTGCTACACTAGGTCACTGGCTGGAGCAGCCTGCGGGAAACATGAACTCCACAGCCCAATAATTGGGACCCTGGGCTGTTTACACTCCTTGGAGCTTGCGGGAGGAAGGTGCAGGCTCATGCCCACTACACACTCCTAAATGTGACTGGCCTGGGCCTGTTCCCTCTGCACATCTCCACGGTGGGAGATGCAAGGTGAAGGGGAACAGTGAGGCTTGGCGGGTGTGTCTTGTTACTGCTTCCTCTCTGCTTCTTAATGCTCCTGTCTTTTGCTTTTAGGGTCAAGTCCTTGTCTGATAACTGTTGGGATTAAAACAGAAAATGATTCTACTGTCACCATATAAGTCTCTTGAGTGTGGAGAATCTGGTCTCAAGGTCTGGGCAAGAATGCAGGATAATTAAAGCTTAAAGCACACATCCTTCTGCAGACATTCTGGGACATGGCCTGGAGCTTGAAGGAGAGGCCACAAGCCGCTCGGCCTGACTCCTGCCTGCTTGGAGAACGCTGACACTACGCCCTTCCCTATCCCCCCTCCCACGTTCGGAGTAAGAGCTGCCTGATCTTGCCATCAAGCTTTTGTGTATCTAAAGTGACATTTAGATTCATTCCAGCACTTCCTCAACTGCCTGGGAGACATCCTTGGTCCAGTTGGGAATCTGGGTCAGCTGTTCAGGCGCATGCTATGTGCTGAATGAAGCTCACAGCCCAGGCAGCAGGCAGTGGTAACATCTCGGGGGTGGGGGTGGGGCAGGAATGAACAAGGGAAGGGATTTGGACATGAGCTTAGGCTTTTGATACCTGTTTTAAAATTTTGCACGTGTGATCTTGTGGCAATGGTGGTGTCAAGCGCAGAACCCATGCCAACTCAATCAGACAAGGGCCCAGAGTGGAACTAGGGAAATGGGTGGTGGGCTGGTCCTAGTCTGGGAACTACTGGAGACTTATTACTATTGGGTGAGGGAGAGTAGGTTTACCAACGATCTCTAGAAAGGCTGACTACACTCCAGTGGATGAATTTGCACCAAAGGACATCTGGGTACAAATGCTTGACTGGATAAGACTTAACACGTATGGCGGAATACGTGGGGGGTAGGATATGGATGGTGGAGGAGGTCTAAATTTGATTAAGAACTGTTATATGAGATGTACAAAAGTGCAATGAATTTTTGTTGTTGTTGTTCTTTTTGAGACAGGGTCTCCCTGTAGACCCAGCTGTCCTGGAACTCACTGTGTAGACCAGGCTGGCCTTGAACTCAGAGATTCACCTGCCTCTGCCTCCCGAGTGCTGGAACTATAGACTACAGGGTTCAGGTCAGCTGGGACTTCAGGGAGACCCTGTCTCAAAAAGACAAAAAA